AAGAGAGGTGTGACGGTACATATTGTCGTTTTGTACATATTGTCGTCGGCGACAATGCGTAATGGAAGACAAACTGTACAGTCAAGCATCGGCACGTTTTGTCGTGGGCGACAATATGTACTGTGACCATTGGCACATTTTGTCGCCGATATACTGTGTTGAATATTTACTAAGGTCGTGAAGAGAGAGAAAGAGATTGAAACACATACACAGAGAAAGAGAGAGATCTAGACAGACAGAAGGATAGACAAAGTGTTTGGCTGATAAATAAGCAAACAAGTTGTATTTATTTAGCATTACTCGCAATACTGTAGGGAGAAATGGTGTTGGTCAGTGTCCAGCATTGGTTTACATGACTATGATATGTCAAAATACAGTAATTCTTGAGATATCTGAAAAATCAGTCTATTCTTTTTTCTCGTTATATATACATTGAATATATGAGACTGAAAGTTATTTGTTCAGTAGAAATGTTATCTGGAATTCATTTTTTTTTTTTGCTTAATTCTCATACGAGTGCCAATATAATTGGTGTAGGGATTGACATATTTTTAGCTCACCTGGCCCCAAGACCATAAACTGAGAAAAGACTTAAGGTGGTATGGGATGCCAAACGAAACTTCTCCTAAATATTTATTTACCCAAATTAGGCGGATTTGAAAATCCCCAACCTTTCAGTGTGTTAAACTGTAATTTTAATAATTTTCAATTATTTTAATGAGAAATACAAAAAATGATTTTTTCTAATGTAATTCTTTTTTCAAAAGCTTAAAATTATAGGCAGGAGTTTACTAATATAAAGTGTATATAAAAACGAATTTGACAAGAAATATGTCTTAGTATTTTTTTTTAATTTTCAACAAAAAATAAGCGTAAAAAACTGGGAAAGTTTCATTTCTTGAAAACAGACGGATAACATTTCATGAAAGTCTACAATTAGAATGTATCTTTAATATGTTAGCAAAGTGAAATAAACAAATTGAAAAAAATAGATATAAATAGAAAATATAGGATGCATTTAAAACTTTTTGAATTAAAAGATGCGAACGGAAGAGTTATCCTTCTTTATTTTCCAAGGGTTGAAAAAAACCTGGGTGCTATTTCAGAAATGATGAGCATTTTTCCCAAACTTAAAAAAATTCGCACTTTGTTGCAGTGGTAGTTTTCAACTTTGAACTGTTTTGAAAACAATACAAGACGTGTCTCGTTCAGAGCAATTGCACTCATCTAATCGTTTTAGGACTGTATACAACAGCTAGCTGCTTTATGACCAAACAGTGACTTCTTGAATTAAATAAGAAAGAAGACCAGCTCTGGTTAACGTGATAATTGATTGGTCATAATTCAGCACAATGTGAAGTATAATCGCACTTATCCATGCCTCACCGCATACAAGGTGCTGTACAGTTACTCAAACAATTGAAACATAGCTTTTGCTTAAAAGTGTTCAAAAGCAGCTATGTTGAAACTACCTTTTACAGGTATTTGCTTTTTAAATTACCATAGTACAATTATACGCTTAACAAAACTTCTAAGTGTTCACTCTAATAAATGTATTTATTTAAAAACTACATTATGGAATGGTATGATATTTTCAAATTATTATAACCAATGAGTCTTCTCAACAATTGTCGAAAGAAAATCACTTATCACCAATGAAAACCAATGTCCCGTGACGAAGCTTAAAAACAATAAATCTGTACTTTACGACACGTGCTTTGTGTAATCAGCTTCTTTTTGTGATCATTATCAAATTTTAACAACTGGTTTAACTAAAAAACACAAAACATGGGCAAAATGACCATTGAGGAAGGAGGGAGAGCCGTTGGAATGCTGATATCTGGATCATCCTTATGACACGTTTTACTAACTTTTATTTACTGTTTATTTGTCCTTGATATTACTTTTAAAAATTAACAACCAGTATAAAAATCCATTTAAACACATTTTTCTATAGGTTGTGTCTCATTTTTATCGCCAATTTATCCCAATATGAAAGCTTTTGACAAAATTTAACCAAACCGGAAGTGATCTGGATCTTCGTCTGAGGCCAAGGTTTCGCGTCACAACCAGGTTAATAAATTGTTACATGGTCCTGAACCACTTAAGAAACATTTAAATCAGCAATTTCAATGGTAAGAAAATGGCAACAAATTGGTGCTCATGGCAGCTCAATATCATCTCAAACAGTCTGAATCATCCTTAAAGAGGTACACTTACGTGCGTAACGCCCAAGGAGGGTAAAAGGCATCTATGTGATGCACTGGCCTGCCAAATACCCGGATCTGAATCCCATTGAACACATTTGGGACTTTCAAAAGGAATCTCTAAGCCCCCCCCCCCTCCACACAATTTCAATGGTTTAGAAAGATCCATGCAGTAGGTGTGGCAGCAGATAGGTCAACCTCCTATTCAGGGGTACATGGTATCCATGAGAAAAGGATGTCTTGCAATAATTTGAACGAGTGGTGGTCTTACTCCATAGAGATTATTTTATGTGAATTTTCATTTTGAGGGTACATCATGTCCTTGACACTTTGCTTTAAAGTCTGACGAGATACTTACATGAAATTTACGCAACATCGAACTGAAATATGCATCATCAACCATGAATTAAAGAAATTATTTATTGTATGCATTTGTTCTTTATAACTTAAAAAATGTTAGGTGAACACTTAGAAGTTTGGTTCAGTTTATAAGTAAATTTATATACTTGCGATTTTTTTTGTCTATTTTTACTTAAAATGCCGACTTGTGAGAACTAAAATTAGCTTCGGAGTGTTCTTTTAAACGGTGTATCTACAAATTTTGACCCGATAATAAGCACTCATGCAAATCAAAACAATACTTCAAACGGAAATACGTCATAACGTGGAGGTATCCCATACTACCTTAAGTCAAAATTTCAAATCAGTATAATTTTTGAAATAATTTTAATAATGAAACAAAATTTTCAACATGTATTTGAATATGCTCAGTGAGTGTATGTACACATTTTCGCCGGCGACAATATGAACAGGACGACTAAATGTACCGCCACAATCACGCTACATGAATAGCATACGAGATACGTCAATGTGATTTACACACCAATTACATTCACAAATCCACCAAAAACAAGAGGTCCATGGGCCACATCGCTCACCCGAACACTTTGGTTCGGAAATCGCAGAAATCAGTTCGGTATTCAAAAGTTTAAATACTAAAGGGGGGGGGGGGGCTTTTGAATGAATATGACTAATAATGGCTTTGTTTTCTAAAGAAGAAATTTTTATTGATATAACCTTTATATCCCTTTGTTTAACTATGATCCACTGTTTGGCCCCTCTGTGGGATCATGATCTGAACAAATTTAAATCTACATTACCTGAGGATGCTTTTATTTAATTATGACCAATGACGTTTTTGCTGTTCTTGAGAATAAGATTTTTAAATGATTTCCCCTATGTATTCCCATGTTAAACTTTGATTTGAATAAAATTGAATCCACACTACCTGAGGATGCTTCCATATAAATATGACCAATCATGGCTTTGCTGTTCTTGAGAAGAAGATTTTTAAATATTTTTCCTATGCTATCCTAAATATTTTTCCTATGCTATCCTAGGTAAAATTTTGATAGCCCACTGTGGCCCCATCCTACCCCCGGGGGTCATGATCTGAACAAACTTGAATCTACATTACCTGAGGATACTTCCACATAAGTTTCATATTATCGGCCGAAGATGAAAATCAAACTGCGGCCTGGCGAACGATGATCGGGCGACGGTTGGCCAACTTATAAATATTTTTACTTTTAAAGGTATCGATGTTCCCAGGAATTAATATGACTACTCTGCGTCGCCCGATACTATAGTGTCGGCCGATCATGTTTTTTCAGCTGACGAAAATAATTTGTTCGCCCGACCATCGGCTTCAATGTGACCTAAGTAATATTTTAATTTTGTTATACTGATGATATACAAGGAATTGTATATGTTTGCATACTAGCTAGGATGCAGGTTCCTAAGAGAAAATGAATTGAAAATAAAAACATCGCTGAATAGTTAGCACGTTGGTGTGAGCTGCTTTAAGACGACCCCGAGATTCAAAGATATTTGTAATATGCTTTGTATTTTTTTTTTTTTTTTTTTTTTTTGAGTTAAGCATATATTTGATCATTTCTGTTGCATTTTATTGATTTACTTACATGTTAAGAAAAATGACACCGGACCAGACAAACTTGACATGTACTGACAACGGACTTTTTGCTTATAAATTGCGATTTCTTAAAACATGTTAGCTACAAAAGGCTGTCAGTTGCCTTATACATTGCAAATGAAGTTTCTCTTCATATTTTAAAATAAAAGAACCATTTCGATGAATTAAATATAAGAAATATATAATTTTCTAGCTCACGATCATGGCTTCACACATGGGAATGTTATCGCCAACCAAAACTCCTCAAAATGTATTGTGGATATCAAATACATAAATCTTTGTATGGAATACTGAAAGTTGTGTCTGTTTCCCAAGATTCAAATTTATTCTTAGAATTTGTTAGAAACGTTAAAATTTAGGCATTATGTATAAATTCTTGTATCTTTTGCATGACACCGGACGGATTTTTTCATAACCTCACCTGTATGCTCATGACAACGAACCAGTTTTAGTGCTTAACTTTAAAGTTTTCTGACAACGGTACTGTCTAGGAACTTAACGTGTTCCTGGCCGTGAACTTGTCCACGATTTTTCCGGACAACCCTCGTACATAATCAGGTGTTTCTTACAGAGCATTTACACGAAACTTTAAATATCTAAGGTGTAAACGTATCTTTTTCTCTTACTTGATTTTATCAGAGGTAAATCTATTCTGGCTCGGCAAATACTAAATTAAAACTTACTTACTGTCTGTAATATATTTGCATTTATTGACTCCCAATTCAAGTAATAGTATTTAGAACTCCCAAGAAAATTGTATTTAGAATTGATTTTAACATTTATGTTCCTATTATCTTTAGGGTGTCCTCCTGGTTACTTCGGTGTAAACTGTACCAGACATTGTAGTCCTGGTCGATATGGGAATGGATGTGCCTACCAGTGCGCTGAGTGTGAAAAGACTGAGTGCAATGTTTCCTATGGGTGCCCAGTGACCAAAACAGGTATATTAATTTAATTTAGTAACCACTGTGCAAGATAGGAAACTTTTTAATAATCATTTTTCTTTAAATTAAATGAAATTCTATTTTGTCCTAACTTCAGTCTTTAAATTCCATTTTTAATTCTTGTGTATAAAAGAACACAATATAAAAATTTTATTAAAATCTGTACAATTTGTGTTCTAGAAATAACAAGACTGACATTACATCCAAGAAGAGAACAATTTCAGGGTACCAGAAACTCCTCTCAAGAAAGCATTGACAAAGACAAGAATACAGAGAACATTTTGCAGATTTTATCCCTTTGCTTCTCAGTTGGAATATTTGCCGTTATTACCACAGTATTTGCTTACAGGCATATTTGCAGAAACCTTATGAAAACCAATGCAAGTCCTCAGGCTGAAAATAATAGTTCAATGAACGTGGATAAAAACTACGAGGTACTTAATAATAAAACCGTCTACAGTGGAATGGCAAACGTCCAGATAAACCTTAACAGGGTGGAAAAAAATTTCTCCATTTTCCTGAATACTGAAGAAAGCACCAACATAGATGCATTACTTCAGTTAGAGAACATGGAACCCAGATGTCCTAACACTTTAGGGGGCTCGGTGAATGGAAGTGTAAAACATTATGAGACTGTTTGTTGAATATTTTTTTCTTACTTTATCATTTCATATTCATACATTTTTTAAACCTCTTTACAACTATTGTTTCATTTAACGCAAATATAAATCCACACTTTAATCTTAGGGGAGACCCTAAAGAAGAAAGGTGAAGTCACGATGATAAACTGTTCGGTAAGAATGAATGAAATAGCGCTCTTGATTAATATTCAAGACGCAGGAGCGTTGTCTACGTACGAAAATTTTCTAAAATGAGACAGGCTACTGACAAATAAGTTGATGATACAAAGGTATATCAAAATTCTTGTTTACAGTCACCAGTTCGCGAATTCGTAACAATGACCTTGTTTCAAATACAATCTTATTGTTAGGTAAAGTATTGAAGGACGTCTTTCACAAATTGTTAGGCCATTATTTTCACACTGATACCCAATCATAATTTAACAAGAGGCACACGATGGGTGTTAACGGTCGACAGGTACATGTAATGCATATTCCTCCATGACACCTGATCCTCTGTCTGATGTTTTCAGAGGTCCATGTTTGCTCTGCACACAATGTATATATACGAGTATTAATTAATTGGACTTTTGAGCATGATACCTGTTCGTTATTTTCACATGTCACTTTTTGATTGGGAAAAAGGAATGTCCATCCATATCATTCATTAGTTTCACTTTTAGTGAAAGTTGTGTTTCGACATGCTTGTATCAAATATGGTGCCACATATGTCCCGACGCCAAAGCTCAAACTATCTCTTAATGTGTCTCTGAGGTCTGAAGGTGCGGATATATGAATTATAAAGATAATGCTCTGTACGTTTTTTTTTTCACTTTTCGATTGAAATTCTGATAAGCTGCTTAAATTCTATCATTGCTATTAGCAATACTTATACATGTAATGAATTTGAACGTTTTCCGCACGGATGGAAACAAATTAGAGGGGGCTTTTTATTGAAAAAAATAAAATTAAATAAAAAATACCTCGTTCTCTAACTAATTCTCTTCACAAATATCATTTTCCCCCTTCTTAAGTGCTTCTACATGTATAACCCGATCAGATGTTGGATTGTCCAGACATGCAGGTACGTTCTATAGTGTAAATATTTTCTGAGAGTTGGAAACTTTTCTCACTCTCTATCATCGCCTCATACATTCACCTCTGTCATCGTCTCGAGCATATCACAATAATTACCATGATAAATAGTGCGTTTTTAAAATTCATCATAATTTAATGCTTGCCCTAAATTTTATCCTTTAAGATAGATATTTTCTAACTAGAGATTAAATTGAATTAATCTTTGGAATATCATCTTTTTTTACTTTATGTCAAAAATCTTGACGCAATCCATTAGCAACGGTGTCTGAGAGAGGAACGAATGACACCTCTGCATTGGAGATTATCCTATTTAAAGAGGTTCAGGTTGCAGTGGTTTAAAGAAACAATGATCAGTCATTTATTCATTTTTAATATAGCCTTACTTTATTAAGCAAATCTTTCATAAATTCGGCTTCTTGTGGTCAGAAAAATGTTAAGTAGAAAACTATATCTGAGTATAAGCTGGATAACCACATGCAGAAATAAATCCCAGTTCCTCTAAAATACAATTAAAATGATAAGCCTTACAAACAAAGACTATGTTGTTTCCTGCTTTGTCAGCTGGGACCAGTACATATTAACCGTGAAATTAATCAAATTCTTTTTTTTTCACTTCTGAATTTTGAAGACAGAAGGATAGATAGTTTTCAAAATGCCCCTCAGTCGCTAAATGCGAGATTTCAACATCCATCTGATATTTTAATCCATCTGACAAAGGGTCAATGTCTTCTTTTTCATTTTTGGCCCATCTCTTGGCGTAATCTTCCACAGAATTCATAATATCTATGAAATTTTGACGCCTGTTGAAAGATCGGGGTTCCCTAAATTTTAGCCCTTTTAAAATAAGGATTTATGGTCCTCATTATTAATTATATTTACGTCACTAATAATGATGTGTCCAGCAGGATATAGTTGTAGGGTGAAGAAGAATATAAACACGTAGGAGGATGAAAGACAGGGGTCAAAATTTAGGACGTATAAAAGAGCGAGAATTTACACAGATTTTCCTTTGTATCTTTTGAACAAAAATATTTTGTTATGACATGTAGAATAAAAGTTGTGCAACATTTTAAGAGCTTTCATTTGACACCCCTAAAAAGGAACTGTCTCCTCAAATTAGGGATCTACGACTCATGAAAGTTTTCGCTTCACTACACAAAAATGGTAAAGAATTCGACATTGCTTTCGCTAGAAAAGTTGTTCTTTTACCTCTTAGTGATTTCATGAACTTGTTATTTTGTTCGAATCTTGTGTATTTTAGGAATAAAAATCTTGACCCTAAATTACGTAACGGTTTTCATTAGACAAATGAAGGAGAAATCTTTATGCGTATGACAAACATAAACTTGCTATAAATAATATACCTGACCACATTTAAAAATGCTAAATATTCTTTTAGAATAAGGTTTTTAGCGAGTTCTATGGTTCCTTTACAGATTATTTAGTTAAAATGTTCATTTTTTTTTATTATCATTTTTACTTGTTTTAATAATCATGCTTTCCAAAAAAAAAAAAAAAAAAAAAAAAAAAAAAAAAAAAAGAGAGAGAGAGAGAGAGAGAAAAGGATTATCTTTTTATCGTTTAATATTGAAACAAACAACATATTAAATAAAACGCTTAAGCATAAAATAATTCAATCATTAACTGCACGCATTTTACTTACTTTTATCTGTGATTTAAATCCGATGAGGATTAGTCCACTTTCTTACCACTCTTTCCTGATCTGTATCCGTTGATGCTCTGCGATTCTGAATATAGGGTCGCTATTTTCATTCGAGTGGGGGAGGGGGGTACATATTTCCATGTGAGCAGAAAAAACATTGGTTTCAATGTTTAGTATTTTATCGGTTAAAAAAAGCAGGCGGGATTGCAACTCATCGAAAAATGTGCGTATGTAGGGTCATATTAGTGCCCATTGTCCCATACGGGAAATAAAAACAATGTCTTTTTGTGCTACTTACACTACAAAACAATACTTTTTATATAAGACTGTATATCTATTGATATCTGACAACAGAGACTGCATGCTTCTTCCAGCTGAAAAAAAAAAAAAACAGACAATCTTTATACGGTACCCTAATTGTAGCCAAAAAACAAAGTTTGGGGATATCACTCATGTCTGTTTATCTTTGCGATTGTACCCGGTCCATAACTTTTAAAAAGAAACGTTGGAAGCTCATTTTTCAGAAAAAAAAAAATATTTCTCACCAGAGAGTATGTTACGACCTTGATGTAAGGTCAATTTGACAAGTTCAAAGTCACTTGCAGAGAAAAAGTAAAAAATCGTTTACAGTTTATTTCCTTATAATGGCAAAATGTGAAAATTAATACTTCACACAAAGATTGTGTATACCCCGAAAATGTGTCATGATTCACAAGGTCACTTTGTCAAGTTCACTTTAGAAAATACAATTTTTTTCCTGGCCATATCTTGTAATGGAGAAACATTTAAATTTCACCCTTTAAACAAATATTTCATGACCCATGTCATTTAGGCAAGTTTAAGGTTTTCTATCTCAGGCAGCTCCGACGGAAGACCTCTCGTTGCTTTGTAACGAGCTTGCCTCTAGTTATTTATTATTGTTCTATTTTACAAAAAATATTTCATGTGAAGACTAGCTGTAAATAAAAAAAGGAAACAGTAAATGAAAACAAGATTATTAATAATGAGAAGTATAATCAAGTTTGCATAATTTATATTCATAATGCTTATGTCGTACAAAGAATTTAAAACAAATTCATAACAATTATCTTACAGTGGACTAATATTTATTGCTGTGTAAAGGGGATACATTTCTAATAAAGATAACTTATTCTACCATTACCATTGAACAAAAATCTTCTGGTTATATTTCCATAATACATATATATTCTGAGTTGGTTGACAAGTATTATATTACAAGTATTGATATTTTTTTTTATCTTCTTATTATGTTATTATCACAAATATTTCTAGATTCATTTTGCAATAAGCAATCCTGCAAATTTAACAATATCTGTTTGAAAAAAGAAAATACTTTACAACTTTTGAACGCAGTGTCAGTTTTAAAGTTTTTTTTATATAATTATTATAATATACATACGCTTTGGGTACTCAAATTTCAAAAAAATCTTATTTACCTAACAACAGAAGTAGGTGAATGGTACTTTCGTATAATTTCTACGATGGTGTGAGAAGCAATAAGCAAGTCTGCAGCTGTGCGTATTTAAGATCGATATTTTTTTTTCATTCTTTAATTCACACACTATTGAAATCGTTTAGCTGTTAGTAAACTAATTGCAAATTAACAGAGTTTTTACTTCTTCTTAAAATTAAAGTAGAGTTCTCTAAATGTAATAATTATAATAGTAATCTTCATGAGAGTCCCAGATGAATTATAGTTCATTCAATGACTTGTATACTCGATTAAAAAAAATTATTGGCAGTACTGCCTGTAAGGAAATACCCACATAATCTGTTTTAAAAGTTAATTATATAAATATTACAATAAAGAAAATTGCATGAAAGGGATACACACACCTTTACATAAATAGAAATATACAGTCTTATTCAAATCAAATAATGTAATCGAATAAGAAATTAATTGTAAATTTGGTTGTTCATTTTTGAACCTATCTTTACTGTTCTCCGAATAAAATGTTGTCTTTAACTGTCAAAGTATGAATTAAAACACATAAGTATCCTTATTTAGAATAATGATCAGGTAAAATGTATATAATTAAATAACATGCATATTGGTAATATTTCATTGTTGTTGAAAATACTTTTATATCAGAATTTTCAACAGATGACCTTGCATTTGTGCAATTTATATTGTGTTAATTGCAGTTGGAAAAGAAAAATAATGTCATTTCTTATTGTGATTATTTTCTTCTTAAGACATTGGCTGGGTTGTTATAGATATTTGATTTCAAGAATTGTTCCAAGTTCAACTTGACAATAGAGCGTACTGTGTGTTTCTTTCCATTGCGTTTTCTTCTTCTTCTTCTTTTTTTTTTTTAGGAAATAATGTAAAATTGTCAATATTGTGGTAACTGATATACACATTAAAATGAAATATAAGAAGAGCGATGGATCATTATAAAAGTGCTTATTTTTACCACTATACTTGATTTGGAAATTTGTCTTGAAGTGTCGGAATAGAGTAAGGATTAGGTGAATATGATGATTCTATTGTGCGTTTTCACATTGTTCGTCTCTTTCTCAGAAGGTAGGCAGAATGTGTAACTTTTTAAATAAAGTTTCTCACAAGAGAAAAGATATCCTCATGTCAGTCTGCTTATATCTTCTGGATTTCTAACGGTCTTTTAAAGAGTATCACATTTAACTTTTAATTAAAAATGTTATTGCATAAGTATATACGTTGTGGGGTTTTTTTTTCTCTTGTATTTACTGGTAAAAATTAGTAACAAGAATTTTTTCAATGTTTTTTTTTGTGTAAAAATTTTTTCTATTCATTTTGATGTATTATAAATAACAAAACAAAATTGTTTTTCAATTCTAAGCGAAAAGCATCAAACGTCAATGGGCCTCCGAAGTTACAGGATATTCGTCACAGTACAGTTCAGGAGGGTAAACTCGCCTGTTGTTCATGTCATTATGTCACCCCGAACTTAGACGGGACGAAATATTCTTATTGTTTCACTTATAATTTTGTCCGCGATTATTCTCGTAGATGGCTAGAACAATCTTCAAGATACTTACAATATATGCTTTCCGCAATTAAGGGGACCGACTGGGGTTTTCATTGCGCAATACTTCGCGCAGCATAGTAAAATCAAGCGTATTTGCTCTTTTAAAGCAACTATTTTTACATAATTTACAAAAATTAACAAATTTAGGAAAACTAAGGTTAAAAAATCTAATTACGTTTTTAAATAACTGACTTTTTAAACGATTTTTCAAATGATGGGTAGATAGACGTCGTAACAGCGTGTTTCTGACGTTATAAATAACCGAAGTTCTTTAAGCGGGGTCATTAATTACGTCATAAAATAAAAAGTATAAAATAGATGCTCTTGAAATTTTAAACACAGGAAATTGAGAATCTCACAATAATTTTTATTTTTTTTTAAATGTAAATCAGTGGTATCTGTCATGTTTTGTTGTACTCCATAAAAACAGGAAAATATCACGATTTTTGACATTTTGAAATGCCCCCTCTGGTAACCAGACGGTAGAATTTTGTGTTTCTTGCAAAAAATGTACAATATAGTATTATCCATCAAATAATATAATTTGAGCAAAAAGTCTATAGTAGCATTTGTATAATTTGCTCCGAAGTGCGAAAAAATGGTATTTTCCTATATAACCCTATAGTAAATGTACCTGTATTTTGAGATGGTCCCTAAAAAATAACCAGACGGTAGATGTTCACTACACTTGGCATATATACTGAAGTCAATGTAAGGTATATATTGTATAAAATTAAAGAGTTTCTCTATAGTAGTTTTCACACAATAAAACCCCAGTCGGCTCCCTTAAATTTCCAAAATTATCAACGTTGCCATGAAAACAGAAGAAATTTGAAAAAAAATTCCAATTTCATTACTCTAAGTAACAGTCCATCCAATCGAGTCGAAACTTAATACGATTGTTGCTTAATTAACGTGAAAGTGTTTTTGAAAGAAAATTGGAAACGGTTGCACAAAATCTATCGCTGTTTCAGTTGAAAGAACGATTGAGCTAATTAGTTATTCACCTTTTTTCGGGAGGCTGAATAAATGCTTTCAAGTGACCATTGTGTATTTACTTATTCAGGTAAGTGTTCTAGTGAAACATACCGTAATGAATGATGTGACTATAGGACATATCTCCTCATTACCCCTGTTTGGAAGAGCATTGCCCTATACACTATTAAAGGCTTCAGAGACAGAATTAAGCAGTCATAGTCTGAAGTCTAAAGCCAAAAAAAAAAAAAAAAAAAAATGGGAAAGTAATAAAGAAGGTAAATAATTAAAGAAGTAATAAAGAAAACTAGATGATTGATTGTTTGTAGGTTTACGTCCTTTGCAAGATTATTTAATGCATACGAGACGTCATCGAATGCCGATGAAAAGCTTTAAATTAGACCTTTATTCGACACTCAGGACAGTTGAGCAGTGAGAGTTCTTTAACGGTTACATTTGATTTCTTACGCTTAAAGTATTTCATGTTACATACTACATATTATTGGTATGTGTCCCTCAAGTTTATAAGGTTTGAAATTCCACAGATGGCTATTGATGCTATGGAAACAAAAAGGGTAAATATCGGAAAGTTAGTTTATGGAAGAATTTAGAATTAGTAGAGTTAACACTCCCCTTTTCTCCAATATTGCACCATAGGGGTCATTTGGGGATAAACTGAGGAAGGTAAGTTCGGTGTGACATATGCCATTGCTTCCAAAATTAATAATTTAAATTCTGGTCTTCTAATTGCTGTTGTATTCTTTACTAGTCTTATCACATTAATATTGTATGATATAAAAATCACATTCAGATTTTTTTCCCAAATTTACTAGATACTCAGCAAAACAGATATTGGGAAAACCCAATTTTTATCCTCGCTATGGTGATAGCCCATTGGCATGGACACAGGCGACTGGAAAACTGAATGCAAATCAGTTCATAGAGGTACAAAGTCATATCAGGAAATAAGTAACAAAAAAAAACCCGAAGTTCAAAGATGATTCCCGCCAGAAGAAAATGATTTCTTCCATAATTTAATACCACAGATATATTGAAAAGTGGTGCACTTTCCAAGAAGAAGATGAAAAAAGCTTCTGAAATAACATCTTCTCGAAAGAGTGAAATATTGAGATAACGAACAGTAATAATGCTCAAAGGTCCAATTAAGAGGGCTGGGTGGTCGTGGCCATTTTTAGACTAGTCTATATTGATCTCCTTTAGAAGAAGAGCTCCATATAAAGATATACAAAAATAATCAAATTTTAAAACTAAAATGTATGAATTTTTTCTTTGCCAAATGATAATTGACAGCTTAAGATATCATATCTAAAAAAAATAAATTATATCTGATGGTTAATTTGTTGACCCCCCAGCCTCCTTAAACACTGGTGGGTTCAGGTGGAAAGGAGGAGTAAGCATCCCGTGTCACACCTGACGTGAGCCCTTTTGACTTTATTGGGTAAACGGGTAAATCCGAATACAATCCAGTATGAAAAAATGACCTAACAATTTAATTAAAAACGTCAGTCAATATTTGAACTCATGACATGCATGTTGAAACACACGCGGACAAGGTCATTTTATCGACCATAGAATTTACGAAGTGCAGCCTTTAGACAAGATTATTGATACTCTTGTAACATAAACATATTTGTAAATAGCTTCCCTTTGTTCAGTTCCTAAGCAGAACAGTCATGTTCTTGAATCAACTGAGAGACATAAACACCATATGAAGCTGATGATGTATCCTTTTTTACCTTAAAAAAATATTAATAAATGGTTAAGTTACATTGCCATTTATTTGCTTATTATACTTTTCAGGTAAAATTTCCTGAAAAAGTTTGGTTAACTAAGGTTAACATATATGAAATTTGGAATGGTGGAGCTGTCACGAGAATATTGGCAAAGAATAAAAAGAAACAGTGGGTTGAAATTTTCAAGGTTTCAAAAGCTCGTGTAATCAGCAAGGCTAGGAAATTCTCTCCTGAAATAAAAGTGAGTTTTATTGTCCTTTTTTCATTTAAAGGTTAAAGTGTTGTATAATATTTCGTTTCAACATTTTGATTGGTACATATTAGCAATGATATTTTCATTCTTTATAAATTTAATCTGTATTATGATAGTTAAGACGTTACGCACGGTGTTGGTACTGTAATATCAGAATCTTATGTGTCACAAAGAAACTGGCGTTTTCTTCATACGTTATTAGCTGGAAATTTATAATGAAATTAAATATATTATCTACTGTAATAAAGAATTTTAAAAATTCCCTTTCTTACTGCCTAGAGGTATTCAAGATTTTATAAGGCTCTATTGATTATTGAACATTACGACAAAAACCCTATGTCCAACGTTACGCAGATTATTGTTCGCACAACAACAATAGATGAAAAGATGCACTTTTTGTCATATATTTCTAATAAAATTTTGGGGAAAGAATATTGTGCATGTGTTCTTTGTGACGCTATTAAAATTATGACGTCATTTTACAAATTTCAAGAGATTCGGCTGAATTCGTTGTGAGTTGATAAAATGTCCAACAGAAATTAATCGTTCCCTGACATTAACATTACTAAAAATGATGAAGTGCACCGGATAGAAATGACAAACAAAGGTAAATTTTAATATTTAATCTTAAAGAACAAATACTTCTCAAAGTAATAATTTTGATACATATAGTATTACTACCCCAACATTAATATTAGGGAGGCTTTATTAAGTGTAGCCATTTTGTTATGCATGTACGAGTTACTGTACTCTTACTTTTTAGTTACGGCTCATATAAGTATCTAATTATATGATTTAATGGCATAATTATGAGTAATAATTACATTTATTTTGAAGAACATCTAATATTCTAAGAAATTATTATATAAAATATACCTTATTCGCCTACGTAGGAAAAAAAAAATAGCATTAATGAAAATGTAGCCATTTTGTCACATGTTAAAAAAAACGTCATAATGTGTAATACAATATGTATGACGTTTGGGGCATTAAATTACTGTTGCCGTGCTCCTTTTCTAATTAACTGCAGACCCTTGGTAGCAAGAAAGGAGGGCCCTCGACCCCCCCCCCCCTCCCCCATTTTTTAAAGAGTAGTCTTTTGTTGTAAATGTAAAAAGAAAATTGAACCCCCCCCCCCGCCATTCTTGTATTTGTATTTGTTTCAAAGTGCTCGAAATCTCTACGCTCTTGGAATATTTTTTGTCCTAAAATTTTTTTTATTTCAGTAATATTTCATTATGTCAAATGAATAAAAGGACTTGGCAGCAGGCACTGCCTCTGTAAGACCATGCCATTAAAATGTCCCCCCCCCTCCTTCCTCGCCAAATAGGACTTTCAAGTTTAGGCATGTAATTTATGTCAAAATGTTAAATAGTTTTTTACATGATAATTTTTTACAATTTAATTATAATTTTGATATTTTTTTTGTTTATCACCCCCCTCCAACCACCCACATACATACTTTGAAAAACGGCTCTTGGAGGAAGCCTAAACTTTTTTTTTCATGTTACATAGTATTCAAGACTGGAGCCGAAAAGGCAAAATACTACCGGGAACTGAAAAATATAAAGGCGAAAGAGATTCAGATAAAAAAGTACAATGAAAGGAAACATATTTATAATGCAAAAAAGAGAGAAAAACGATTGAAAGAGAAAGCTAATTCAACTGTTACAAAAGAGGCTGCAAGACAAAGAGACTACAGAGAGAGGAAAAAGAGAGAGAAAGAGGAACTTGAGAGAAAAAGGATTGAAAGAAATAAAAAGAAAAGAGAGTACAGAGACCGTTTAAAAAATAGACAGGGTGATCGTGATGAGGAGTTACAACTTATTTTTAATTCGAGAACTCAAAAACACAGGGCACTTAAAAATTGAAGCAAAATTTACCCAGCACGCCAAAAAAGAGAGCAGCTTTAATATCTACCTATATATCCTCCCAGAACAGTCCCACTGCCAAACTTCTACAGAAATTTAACAAAACACCGTCACCTGATGATGTAAAGAAAATCAAAATGGCTGATGCCCTTCTCTCTGATATGAAAACTGTTATTAACGAAAACAAACTTAGAAGGTCCGATGATGCAAGAGCGGCAATTAATGTTTTAAGTGCAGCGGTCAGTGGCGAAAATGTACAAAAAACAAAATGCAGGACGGAGCTGTCTAAAAAGCTTGGATTCAATGTGAGACGAATGAACACAGGTATGTTCCCCCCCCTCTCTCTCTCTCTCTCTCTCTCTGTATAAAAATACATGATTACATGTATTGCTCTATTGATCTGAAATTAAAATATGCACCGGGATTAGAAAAAAAAAAAAAACTGCAAACGATAGCATTGTCCTGCCGCCTACCTGCAAGTCAATTTTCAAAAGTTGACGCATTTGAATGATTTTTCATATTTATGTAGATATTTATGTGAATCATCATATGAAATAATTTATTTGGGAAAACAAAGAGAGATAACTCTATTATTTTGGTAAAACTTGTGTTTTTCACTATAGAAATCAATGGAAACGGAAAATATTTTTAACCCCCACCCCAGTGAAACAAAAATTCCTTTATACAGGTATTATCAATTGTTATTTCTTAAATTCATACAAAATCTTTTGTTGTTTCCATGGGGGGGGGGGGGGGGATATGTTTACAGACCTTTAAAAAAAAAAAAAACACAAACAGAAAAAGAGGTCATTAATTTACTAATTTCAAATGAGATTACAAATAAAAAATGTACTTTATTAATGATATATGTTGAATTTTACATTAATTTAACATACGAAAAAATTTAAGGGTCATTTATTCATATTCATGAGTATTTGAAAATCTGGAGATGTTACAATCCCTGATTTCAATTAAAAAAAATCTAACCCTCCCCCCCCCCCCTGGAAAGACTTGTAAATAAGAACAGATAACTTTTTTACACTGTTTTTTTTTTTTTTTTTTTTTTATATATATATATATATATATATATATATATATATATAAACCCGTCACTAACGAACTCTTCTTTGCATTCAGATAAGTTTTAATGACAAAATTACCATTTATGTTGAATTAATTGGGTTTAAAATGTAGGTGGGAATCGAGCGTTAGCGTTCGTAGTTCTTAGGAGTAAAGTTTTTTTTTTTTTTTAATTTTAAATTTTCCTTTGTGCAGGAAAACGAATGCGTCACAGGGTTCTTAGTACAGAAACTTCGGCGTGGACATACACTGCCAGAAAAACTAGAAGTGATGGTTTATCGGAGGAAACTAAAAAGCTAGCTTATGATTTTTGGATTTCTTCTGAAAATTCGAGACCAACTGCAAATAAAAACGACATCAAGAGAGTACGCATTGGACCCAAGATTTATACACGCCACATGAAACACATTCTTGAAAAAACGCAAACTGAAGTCTTCCTAAGTTTTCAAGAAAAATATCCACACATTAAAATCTCTCAAAGAATGTTTGAAAATCTGAAACCTTACTTTGTTACTCCAGTTAGACCACGCGACCGAGAAACATGTTGTTGTAGATACCACGTGGAGGCAAGGTTTCTTTTTAAAAGTTGCATGGAATTCAGAAAACATAATACGCCAAGTGATCAATATCCTGTTTTTGAAAATCTGACTGAACTGATAAACAGTACACTTTGTCAAAAACCAGAGGGCGAATTATTCCACAATTTAGCTTGCGTGGAACGGCGTTGTGAAAACTGTGGAGTCAATTAAAAAATTCATGTTATCAGAACAGGAACAAGATACAGAAAACTCCAACGATGTTAAGTGGATGAGATATGAATATGTTGAATCAAAAATAAGAAACAAAATGACCAGAAAACTCTGTCTTGTTCAGAAGAGCACAAAACCCGGCGAAATGTTTGGGTATTTTCTTCAAATCATCTCCAAATTTGCAAGTCACATATTTCGCTCTAAGTGGCAATCGTGTCAATTGAATTTTCTGAAAGAAAATCTCGAAAACAATCATGTAATTTGCATTCATGATTTTTCTGAAAATTACTACTGTAAGGACAGGGTGGAAATTCAATCGAGCTATTTTCAAAAGTCAGAAGTATCCCTGCACGTCACTGTATTATACAGGCATCGTTTGCCCGATATTGATGGCCAGGAAGACGAGAATACGTCTGAGCATGACCTTATACAAGAACATTTTTTCGTTATTAGTCCCGATACCAGTCATGACCATAACTTTACACATGAAGTACAGAAACTGATCTGTAATTACCTGATTTCTATAAATTACCAAACTGAAATGATTCACGAATTTACTGATGGTTGTGCCTCACAGTACAAATCTCGTCACTGCTTTGGAGATTTGAGTTACTCAGAACAGGATTTTGGATACAAAATTATCAGAAACTTTTTTGAGACATCGCATGCAAAGGGGGTCCAGGATGCAGCAGGGGGGCTAATAAAAAATCAAGCAGACATGGCTGTTTCTCGCGGAAAGTGGATCATTCAAAATGCAGAACAACTTTACAACTTTTGCATTCGTCATTTATGCTCTCCAAAAGACAGTTCTGCAGGCTGCAAGCGGCGAATATTCCGTTATGTCAATGAAATCCCCCGTAATCGTGGAAGGACGTTCAAGTCTCTACCATCAGTTCGATGTTTCCATCAAATAACATTTGTAGAACCCTGCAAAATACGGGCAAGGAACCTCAGATGTTACAACTGCAATCACTGCATCAACGACAAATACAATTTGTGTAGCAGTTTTGCGGGACCATTTAAGGACTACATTATGAAACATGAAAATTCAGTTGATTCAGCTGATGATTCAAATCTTGATTGTAGCACTGTTCATTCAGATCTCATTCAAAACGGCGTGATCATAGCTGTATACACTGAAGATGAAGGAGAGGATTACTATTTAGTACAGTGCTTATACAAGAGGAGCGAACACTTGTAGAAACTACAAAAGATGAGTGGGGAAACACTTTTGATGCCGGTGTTAAAGTTATTGAAGGACTATATTTCGAAAAAATAAAGGGGGATCATCTCAATTACAAACTTATAAAAAAGAGAAATGTTCTCATTCCATCTCTTGCTGTTCGCTATGTTTGTCTTCATATGAAATCAAGATACGGAAAATTTCGCTTTCTGAAGATATGCACGAGGATATTTTGAAATCCTGTGAACTGACAATCCCTTACTAGAATTTAAAAGTCAAAATATTCTCTTTAGATCTAACATTGACATTATTGATTGTAGCCTCTTATTTTCTTTTGATAAATTCTATAGTAAAAATATGTATTTAATGTGCACAATAAATAACGTAAAATGCTATAAAACAACGTTATAATGCGTGATTTTGACGTAACGTCAACATGTACCAACACCGTGCGTAAGTACTAAGCATATTTCCATAGAGTTTCAGGTTTCAAAGTTATTAAAAAGGGAAACTTAAGGTTAGAAAAAATATAAATTCAATTTTTTTTGGGTTTTGTTTTGTAAACAATTGTATATAAATGCCATATGGGTGACAAATTATCAGTAGATATTTTCAGTAGAGTTGTAAAATTTATTTAAATACTCTAAAATACACTTAATTTTATTTAGAAGGTTAACTTCCAAGTGAACGAGCTGAGAATCGAAATTGATTGTACTGTTTCCCGTTCATGGGTAGAGATTGATGCTGTCGAAATCGTTGGAGGTATTAGTTTAAACATAATTACATGTATATCTGTTTTAAGACTGATGTAATTATACAGATTTTGTACTTATATCATGTTTGCAACAGGGATTATTGGATTTAATAAATTTTATTGTATGACGTAGTTTGCTAAGTTATAAAATACTTGAGGGTTATGGCATTTTTCAAAATAAAATGTACGAAAACAAATTTCATATTTTTGCGTCATTGTAATAAAACACATTGACCCTCTGAACACATTTACTTCCAGATGTCTTGTCCTTCATGTCCTTAAATGCCTTCATTTTTTTTTTTTTTTTTTTTGCTCTTTTTTTCAAAGAGAGACGTTTTTGTCCTGGACAGTATAAAAAAATTGGGGATTCTTGTTACCTGATCAAAAAAGCTAAAGTGTCAGCAGACTCCGCGTTTGTAAGTAGATTGGAAAATTGTTACCGGTACATACAAATGATAGCAAGTAACTGGTTAAATTCATTTTCATTCAACTGCTTGTTTACATTATATTCCAAAGGCCAACTGTCTAGACACTAGTGGGTATCTGGCCAACTTTGAAACTCTTGAAGAGGCTTTGAGAATGAAACAGATCCTTAAAAAAATGAATACAGGTACATGTATATGAAATGCTACAGAAAGTATTGTGTATCATTTTATAAATTGCACTTATACTGATTACTTTCTTTGATCAATATCTTTTAAAACCTAAATCTTTCTATTAAACATAAAAAAAATCAGGAATTCACTTCTATGTTGGGGGAAGGAACATCAACAGAAGAAAACCTGGGGGAGATTGGAGGTGGATCAAGCACGGACAAATGACCAAGATGACGTATCATGCCTTTGGTGCCGGAGAACCCAATGGATCCGACCGTTCTCCCCAGGACTGCATGTTCTTTTTTGCAGGAGAACGATACACGTTCCACAATGTCCCGTGTGATAATGGTTCATATCTTGGTGGCTATATCTGCGAAGTATGAACTTTGTCAATTTAATACAGAATATTGAAAGCAATTTATTATTGTTGAGTTTCCTAAAGATATCTACAAATAAAAAGAAAGCATAGCTAAAGAACATAAAATATGTTTGCTCATCATTCACAAAAGGCTGGAAAATATTTCTGAAATATGACAATCACCCTCGTTTCTTGAATCTTTACTTCTGATTGTCCTTATTTTTTTTTTTATCTAACGTACATAAAAGTGGAATTTTACGTTCAAAAATAGACATTGACCGATACTGTAAAATCACATATTTTCGTGGTGTTAAATTTTCGCGGTTTGAGGAAAAATTATTGGTTTGTCAGGATTTAATTTTGTGGATGAAGAAGTGCTAAGTTTTTTTTTTTTATTTTTCTTTAAAAAATCTTACATTTCGTGGAGAACATGGAATCGTGCGTCTCCTCATACGACGAGAACATCGAAAATTAAACCCCCATGAAAATTTGTGATTTCACAGTATCTGGCTAACTTTGAAACTCTCGAAGAGGCTTTGAGAATGAAAAAGATCCTAAAAATGAAACAAACAATGACGTAGATTTCAATAAATAAATACAATAATTAATCTACTTAATCCTACTTTATATGATTATTTAATAAAATAATATATAGATATAAAAATAAACAATATATACTTCCATGACATTACAGGTTTACATCAACTGCTAAATGTCCCTCTTTTTGGTGGGTGAATGTACAATTATATTTTGTCTATTATTGGCTCTGTAGAGAGTTAGAAACCTATATTCAATTTTCTTTTTAAATGGCTATACGAGGGTTGTCCCAGAAAAACGCGAACTTTTAAAATATTTCATAACCTACCTGACCAAAATTACTCATTTTTGGCATAATGTTGGGAAAGGTTATTTTTGTCATTTTGGCTAAATAATATAAGGTTCCAATCCCATAATTATGCATTTATAAACAAAATTTAAATGGTGCTATATATCGGTGGTCGGCACACGGCAATATCTTGACTTTCAAACATAGCATTGACAGCAATGTTTTCTTTATTACCAGGCTATACGGAAATATAATGTGACAAAAAATTATATCCTTAGAAACTTTACGATCTAGAGTACCCGAATGTAAAAAAAAAAAAAAAAAAAAAAAAAAAAATCAATATCCTGGTAACAAAAAAATGACGTTATATGCACAGACACTATTAATTAGATATTGTCAAAAGCGGCGACGTCCAGCGATAGTACCGTGAAATTTTCACTCAGCGTTGTGTGGAGCGGGGTTTACATGACTCCTGTTCATACGGAAAAAGAGTCGGGAACGAGAGAACGACACAAATACAAACGAGGATCATAGTAAATGACACTATCTGAAATAGATTAAAGTATTCTTAATTAATATATCAGACCAAGATAAAGTAATTAAAAACATGAATTACATATACATGTACATTCCCAATGTAAGTTAACAACGGTGATTTCTGATTATTAATCCTTTATTACCTTTTAACATTTTTCCTGGAGAAATATCATGGCAGGTACCCTACTCTTTCGTCAACAATTGTCTCCGTCGTACCCTCAACGTCAGATGGCCCAACACTATATCAAACAACAGGCCATTGGAGAGAACCAACCAAAATTCCATCAATTCAGACACAAGAATTAAAGAGAACATGGGGATGGGTCGACAACACACTGATCAAACTACAGACAACGTCATAAAGCAGGGTATTGAATGGAACCCACAGGGAAAGAGGAGGGTTGGGAGACCCAGGCAAACCTGGAGAAGATCTATAGAAGCAGAGGTAATAGAGACAGGATTTACCTGGGCCCAGTTGAAGATTGTAGCCCTAAAACAGAGTCCACTGGAGAGGAATGGTTGCGGCGGCCCCTATGCTCCCGCTGGAGTAAACAGGAGTAAGTCAAGTCAAATACAAGTCCCAAAACACAACTCCAATCACATTATGACATTCACATTGATTGACATCTTTCATACAAATTATTAGGCCATAATTTTCACATTGAATTGTCCATTTTTCCGTTTGCCCGATCGATCATATGACAAGGGGAACAGGGCGGGTGTGACCGGTGTCGCATAATATTTGGTCCGCCTCGTTTAAAGGTCCGGGGGGACCTAATACGATAACATATAAGGTCCGGCCTGCCTCTATAATAAAAGGTCCGCCTTCGGTTTAATATGCAGATTTTTCTCCTTTATTGATTCGAAATGAATTTGCTTTATTAATCTTTTTAAATTATGTAAGGTATAGTTGTTATAAAAGTGTCCCTCTCAGCAAAATGGAGTTCCAGGGACGTACATGTATGTACATTGTATATATACTAAAAGGATCAAGTCTTGCGATATCTCGCTAGTTGCTGGATTTCGTTAGCCAATTTTAATTAATTATATTTCTAATACTATGATATATCTCAGTACAAAACCTCAAATTATCTATCAAAAAATTATTCAAAATTTGATGTTAGCACTGATGAACTGTTAGCTCCTTATCGTAGTACATACCTCCCAGGTAGTGCACAAAACAAAAAATATAAAGATGCAAAGATCTGTTGATCGAGTTACCTTATGGGAAAATCATGTACGACATGTGTCTTTTATAGTTTAAGTGATATCAATATTATCATTGCAAAATAAAAAAAAAAATACATATATATAATACGCATACCTTCACTGGCACATTGTTCAGTATATGGTGTTCGTAAGTCCAACAATGATCATTTCATTACAGTCTCTTTCCTAACAACGTTCGACTTCCACTTCCCAAAAAGAATTTTCATATCTTTCGAAAGATATTTCATTAAATCATTAATAATAATTATGCATAATTCTTACGATTCATATTGTACCTAACTATAAAATAATTGGAGGGTCACTTTGACAGGGACTTGTGTTAAGGTGTACTAGCCTATCCCGTTGTTGTTAAAACAACATGTCTGTGCTTTGGGGGGTAGGCCTATTGTCTCACCTGACGAAGTCGCATATCCCCCGTGTTTTTATAACCATCGTTTCTTATCCAGTTAAAGACTAACGATTATTTCATTCTACTTGATATTACCCCGGGGTTAACACTGGTTAAGGAAAATGTGCATTAATTGGCAAAATCAAACCAAAGTCAATCGAGTTGAACATTTTAAGCAATAAAACACCCCCTCCCCCAATAAAGGAAAAGATTATAAATGGTGGTGTTGTATTTTTGGTGGGTGAGGTATAGCAAAATTATGCTGATACATGTCAAATAGTTTAAAAAGTACTGATGTTGTAGACTTTCCTACCGCATTAATATTTTTTCCCGGAAAAACGTGCGTGGGTTTAAAGACCCCTCCCCTTTTGGAAAATGAGCCTAGCATAGGATTTTATTTCCGGAATTTTTTTTTAAATATTGTTTATTTCATTCCCTACATTTTGTAGTTTTCATTTCTGACGTTTTAAAATTTTCATCTCTGACATTATCATCATAAAGTACTTTTCCGACAATGAAAACAAAATTGAAATTTCCCTTATAAAAAGATTAAAGAATAAATCAAGAATAATTCATTGATTTCCAAATAATAAGTTCTGCTTATATTTAAAAGAATCTTATGACGATTTTATCCTCGGACACATTAAGTGTAAGTTGTGAATTTTTGTTCATCTTTTCAAATCAAGATAATCAGACTGAATTTGAGATCAGAAAGGTTTAGATAGAATTTATGACATACAGAAACTATGTTTGACGGAATAAAGTAATCAAGGTAGAGGAGATTCTGTTTTTCGGTGCTTTCAAACGCATATAATTCAGTGGGCATTAAAATTTGGTGATCAAAAATTGCATGTTTTATTATTGAAATTATTGCATTTTATTACTAAACTTTGTATTTTTACTAGACTTAGTGTTGATTGTATTGTAAAATGAAAACAAAAAATGTCGGAAATGCAATGCAAAATTTCGGAAATGACATGCAGCGAGCTTGGAAGAAACAAACCCGGCTTTATCATCCACCATAGGAAATACTCAGTACGCTTCAGTACAGAATTTTCTCCTTTTCCACCTTCTTACTAGGGAGAATCTTATCCACCCATACTATTTACAGAGGGGTTTTACAGAGCAACTTGACATGTATTTCCCCCTAAAATAAAAAGGAAAGTGTCTGTTGAGATCGTGACTGATATAAAAATTCATAAAACACCACCAAGTCGTGTTCTTTTGTTAATATTTTTTATATTTATTTTGATTTTGGTTTAAATAAGATTTTCTACGACTTTAAGCGGCTATTTCTTTTTTATTTATGTGTGTGTGATGGGGGGGGGGGACTATAGTTCTTTTGTTGCACGTCATCAACATTACTAATTAAATAATGATATATATCCTTGGTCCCTTCAGAAGGATGTTCATGGTTGCATATAGATATACAATACAGTAGACACATCTCCTGCAAACGTACATAGAGTTGATAATTAATTGACATTAAAGTTTTGTCTTTTTGTCAGCATATTAAATGAAAAAAGTACACTACTACATGTAGTATATATGCAATTCTTATGTACAATTAGGCCATTCCAAGAGTTTTCTAAGTTAATTTAGCGTCCATCCTAAAATTAAAAACCTAATTATCTTTTTACCCTGGAAAAACACACGAACCAACAAAGAAAAAAAAAACCAATAGGAACTTACAGCATTTCCATAATTTTTGCTTTGTAAGTGAGATACATGTATGTGGGAAAAAAGAAAAACAGAGGGCGGACTTTTATTATCCTGCGTTTTAAGGTCCGCCCTGCCATTTTAACGAGTTTTTTTTTTTACGCTACGATAACTTTTAATAAACTCTGTTCAAAATATTCGCCTTGCAATAGTAAGATATCTGAAATATAGAGGGCGGACCCTTTATTATACTGCGTTTTAAGGTCCGCCCTGTCTCTTTCTCTAATTTTTATGCTACGAAAATAAACCCTGTTTCAAATTTTCGCCTTGTAATAGTAAGATATCTGAAATATAGAGGGCGGACCTTTTATTATATTGCGTTTTAAGATCCGCCCCATCTCTAGTTTGTATGCTACGAAAATCAACCCCGTTCAAAATTTCCGCCTTGTAATACTACGATATCTGAAAAACAGAGGGCAGACCTTTTATTATACTGCGTTTTAAGGTCCGCCCTGCCATTTTGACTAGTTTTTATGTTACGGAAATAAACCCTGTCCAAAATGTTTTCTTTCTAACAGTAAGACATCTGAATTATAGATGGCGGACCTTTAAATATACTGCGTTTTAAGGTCCGCCCTGCCTCTTTCTCTAGTTTGTATGCTACGAAAATAAACCCTGTTCAAAATTTTCGCCTTGTAATTATAGTAAGATATCTGAAATATAGAGGGCGGACCTTTTATCATATTGCGTTTTAAGGTCCGCCCTATCTCTTTCTCTAATTTTTATGCTACGAAAATAAACCCCGTTCCAAATTTTCGCCTTGTAATAGTAAGATATCTGAAATATAGAGGGCGGACCTTTTATTATATTGCGTTTTAAGGTCCGCCCTGTCTCTTTCTCTAATTTTTATGCTACGAAAATAAACCCTATTCAAAATTTTCGCCTTGTAATTATAGTAAGATATCTGAAATATAGAGGGCGGACCTTTTATTATATTGCGTTTTAAGGTCCGCCCTGTCTCTTTCTCTAATTTTTATGCTACGAAAATAAACCCTGTTTCAAAATTTTCGCCTTGTAATAGTAAGATATCTGAAATATAGAGGGCGGACCTTTTATTATACTGCGTTTTAAGGTCCGCCCTGTCTCTTTCTCTAGTTTGTATGCTACGAAAATCAACCCCGTTCAAAATTTTCGCCTTGTAATAGTAAGATATCTGAAATATAGAGGGCGGACCTTTTATTATACTGCGTTTTAAGGTCCGCCCTGTCTCTTTCTCTAATTTTTATGCTACGAAAATAAACCCTATTCAAAATTTTCGCCTTGTAATAGTAAGATATCTGAAATATAGAGGGCGGACCTTTTATTATACTGCGTTTTAAGGTCCGCCCTGTCTCTTTCTCTAGTTTGTATGCTACGAAAATCAACCCCGTTCAAAATTTTCGCCTTGTAATAGTAAGATATCTGAAATATAGAGGGCGGACCTTTTATTATACTGCGTTTTAAGGTCCGCCCTGTCTCTTTCTCTAATTTTTATGCTACGAAAATAAACCCTATTCAAAATTTTCCGCCTTGTAACAGTACCATATCTGAAAAACAGAGGGCGGACCTTTTATTATACCGCGTTTTAAGGTCCGCCCTGCCATTTTGACTAGTTTTTATGTTACGAAAATAAACCCTGCCCAAAATGTTTCCTTTCTAATGGTAAAATATCTGAAAAACAGAGGGCGGACCTTTTATTTTACTGCGTTTTAAGGTCCGCCCTGCCTCTTTCTCTAGTTTTTATGCTACGAAAATAAACCTGTTCAAAGTTTTCGCCTTGTAATAGTACGATATCTGAAATACAGAAGGCGGGGCTTTTATTATACTGCGTTTTAAGGTCCGCCCTGCCCCTTTCTCTATTTTTCATGCTACAGAAAAAAACCCTGTCTATAATTTTCTCTTTGTAATAGATAGATCAAAACGGGGGATTAAGGTTTTACATAGGAATATCTAGGAAAAAGTCTTCAAAAATCTTCTTCTTAAGAACAACAATGTCATGATTAGTCATATTAATATGGAAGCATCATCAGTTAGTGTAGATGTACGTTTGTTCAAATCATGACCCCCGGGGTAGGGGGGTCACAATGGGGGATCAAAGTTTTACATAGGATATATATATCGAAAAATCTTCTCCACAAGAACAGCAAAGCCATCTTTAGTCAGATTGATATGGAAACATCCTCAGGTATTGTAGATTCAAATTTGTTTAAACCATGATAACAGGTCATATAAAATTAATTT